TGTCACGCTATTCAGATAACATACACAGCCCATTGACATAGTAATCCTTACAATGTGTAAAGCAAGATAGAACAAAAATATATCATTGCATGACTTACACAGGACATTTTTGTAGTTTACTTTGCGTGTATAATTCTGACAAACGGAATTTAAGTCAAAAGATAGTGTTAATGTTTTTTTTGCTTTATTGCATTATTGACATAATTTATTTTTTCTATCGAAATGATATTTCAAGGAGATATAAAGTTACGGCATTTAACTACTATATACCTACTACTTCACAATTTTTTGGCTGTAAAAATATTTCATTTTATCCGTTTTCAATGTCAATATTAATTTAAAAGTAGTCATTTTTTATTTAAGACTTTAACTCTTAATAATTAAGTTTTTACGAATTTCTTCCTTGAGTTATATTCTCAGTATTAGTATAAATGAAGAATATACTTAAACTTTTCGTTTACTCACAAGACCAAATAGTTACAAATATATCATTGAGTGTTAGTAAATTGGATAAATAAACTGTCCAATTTATTTTTTGATAAAAACCCGTTTGACAGCCATAAAGGTTTTTGGTTCACACACATAATTTTTTTTGACGATTGTAAAAAGCTCCTCTCGCGGGAATCACTTATAATCAAAAAACTTTATACCATATAGTTTACAAAAAAAGATTTATTATTTGTAAACAAAATGCGTTACTTAAAAATTCATTATGTAAATTTGAAATATTGAAGAAAGAGTTTCCAGAATATTCTAGATGAATGAATAAAATCACTTTCAAGGATATTGAAGTTTAATTCCAAAATGTTTTTTTTTATATTTGCTTCAATTATTTCTGCGAATGTTGATTTCTTATTTCCACTCTTGTTTTTCAACAAATACAATGACGATTAAAAAAACAGAACTTTTTAGGTTCAAAATAAGAAAATAACTGATAGTAAAGAAGAATGTAGCTTTAGGGAGTGTAAAAATAAAACCCTTCCGGGACGTGTGGTGCACAATATTCAACTTTGGCACAACACCCGAGAGAGTTGTGAAAAATTTCTCGTAAAAGATCCTCAACNTATACCTACTACTTCACAATTTTTTGGCTGTAAAAATATTTCATTTTATCCGTTTTCAATGTCAATATTAATTTAAAAGTAGTAATTTTTTATTTAAGACTTTAACTCTTAATAATTAAGTTTTTACGAATTTCGTAAAAACAAGAAACGTGTTGTCATTTCATTTACTAGGAAAAATGTGATCGTATCATTTATTGTGTGCTCTGACTTATCAACATTTTAAAAAATTACATTTCATACATATGATTTACAGAATTAATATTAGCCAAATCTTAGTAACACTAACATTGTAAATAGCTGACTGATAACTACTAAATATAAAAAATGAAAAATGGAATCCATATGGGGATAATTTTGCTTAATTTCTAAAAAATTTAAAATGTGAAAAATATATTTTTAATCATTAAACAATTATTTGAAAAACTAACATTGATACGATTATTCCAAAAAAAAAAAAAATGATATACAGAATGATTCATTAAGGATAAAACATTCATTTTCTCGGAAACTAATATAAATTTTAAATTTTTTTTAAAGAATATATTGTATGATTCAAAAATAATAGTACACCCAAAGAAAAACCTCAATCAATTTTGATAGAGAAATTTTATCAAGGGCTTATGATAATTTTTTATTAATACGAACAAAATAACTATTTTTATGAATAATTATTGTTCAAGACAAGAAAAAAAATCATCATATTGATAAATATATCATAGATTCAATAGTAATGATATATTTATCAAATTGAACAATGAATTTATTATATAGATCGAGCTTTTTCTCTGGGTGTATGTAATTAAGTAATTTTTTTTTAATTCCTTCAAGGATAAAAAACCTTAACATTAATTTTCTTAAGTGAGAACCCCTATATTTATACTTTGATAATACAATAGAAAAAATATTTACAAAGCATTTTGACCTTAAATTTTTTTTATTCGATCAACCGTTCGTCAGTCTCAGAGTGTTAAAATTAAGTTTTTTTAAACAAAATTTCTAATGTTATTTTACTTTTTTGTATATAGAATCCATTGAAGCATCGAGTACTACGAAAACCAAATTAGCGATGAACTTCTATTCTGAATCCAAATCTTTAAACAATTTAAAAAAATAAACGGTTGATCGGATAAAAAAAATTATAAGAACAAAATTGTTATTACATTTTCTTCTATCATTTTATCGAGGTAATTATAGAGTTTTCATTTAAGAAAATGAATATTAAATTTTCTTATCATTACAGAGACAAAAAAAAAATTATTTAACTACATATTGTTATTTTTAAATCAAACAATATTTTCCTTTACAAAAATATAATATTTTTAATAATTTCTGAGAAAAGTAGTTTCTTAACTTTAATAAATCACTCTATACACAGAGTAATTCTTTAAACACTAGTCAAGCGAATTCTCTTAATACATATGCATCTTCGTTTATGTGTTATAAAATAATTTTTAGATTATTCCCTAATATCTTATAGAAGTGGCAATTTTTTTTTTCAATTTAAATATATACATATATGAATACAAATTAAACTATCTTATTAAAAAGATAATTATCTAATTAAGAAATTGACTGATGGATAACAACATTTAGATTAGTATTTCAAAAGTTATTCTCATTTTTATATCTAGGTGGGAGGAATAATACAATCGTGATTAGTGATAAAAATAGCAGCACCCACTCATAAATCTAGTCATTACTTTAAATTATTAATAATTTCTGAAATACTGGTTAAAAATAATAAACTAGTTTATTATGTATGTTTCCAATTATAAAATTCAAGATGACACCCATATAAGATATAATGGATTGACCAAAAAGTTGTTCTATAACAGATAAATGATAATAAATATGTAACTAACAAAAAGCAAAAAAATAAATGTTCAAAAATTTCATTATTTTAAAAAATTGAGTGGCTAATATTAAAAGAATCAATTATAGAATGTGTTCGTGACAACCGACTGCGATGCGCTATAATCTTCTTTTTTCGGACCCTGTGTAAAGAAGTTTCACTTTAAAAATGAAGTTTACACCACTATAAGACGTATGGTATGATCATAAAAAACATTCTATAACAGAAAAATAGAGATACATGTGACTAAAAAAGCGAAAAAATATGATTACTTTAAGTGAAATCATGTAGCTGGTGTTATACGATTTACTATATATATCTTCTTCTCTTCCTCTTATATTTCCTCTTCATTTAATGTTTTTTTTAATAATTTATGCATTTGTAGACTCCGTTAAAAACATATTTTTCATTATTATTATTTTTTTAAATCCATTAAGAGAAATGGCGGCCTCCACNATCATGTAGCTGGTGTTATACGATTTACTATATATATCTTCTTCTCTTCCTCTTATATTTCCTCTTCATTTAATGTTTTTTTTTAATAATTTATGCATTTGTAGACTACGTTAAAAACATATTTTTCATTATTATTATTTTTTTAAATCCATTAAGAGAAATGGCGGCCTCCACCCAAAGAAGGAGGTATCTTAACCATTAATTTTACATTTTTGGTCTTAAACATCAAGTGGTAGAATTTAGGAATATAAAAATGTATACGCTTTTTTTAAGTAAATGTTTTGTTGAAACTTTAATCTTTTCGTTTGCATTATTTCTTCAGTTTTAACGAGATACTCAACAATATTTTTATTACATGTTTTATTATATTATTTGACTAATATTCCAAAATAACAAACATTATAATAACCACGAAAATTATTAAGAAAATAAGTAACTGTATATTTGAATTTTTTGAGTAAGAGTTCATAATACACATTCATAAACTAAAGTACAGGATTATTTGTACTGAATTATTTTTTCCATTAATAACATTTGTTCATAAATAAAAGGTATTATTAACATGTTATTTATTTTTATAATATGTGCAGCAAACTATAAATAATATGAAACACACAGAGTGGAACAGTTTCATTTCCAAAAACTTTCAATACATTTCTTAATATATGACTTTAAATCTATTTCGTTTTAACTTTTTTTTTAAATAATTTATGCATTCTTAGACTACGATAAAACCTTATCTTTCATTATTATTTTTATTTATCGCTTTTATAAGTCCATTAAGGTCTATAGCAGCCTCCTCCTAAGTAGCAGTATTTTTAACCATTGACACTCCAGGATGGGTGGTTAGTCCGTTACCAGAGAAAGGGATGGCGGACTCCAATTACCGAACTGATCTCTCCCTCGACAAATGAAGCCGCCCGGGACTGAGTTTTGAACACGAGACAATATGCATTGCTGACTCGGCCACACCGTTCCTCTTATATTGTTTAGTATTTTTCATTATTTATTTTTAATAATAAAAAAAAATAGAACAAAATTTAAGGTCGAGTAATTATTGAATTACAAGCATTTTAATAAATAAAGTGCGTATGTAACACAGGCGAAGTATGCGTTATAAATATACACCAGTACTATACCCATGTACCAATAAACGTAAAATATCGTTAAACATAATACAACTTTTAGCTTAAAATAATTTTTATTAAGTCCATTTCTTATAATATTTAAGTACAGACTGAGGCCTATTTTATCATAATGCATAATGAATGTTATAATATATTTTTTTTAAATAGTTATAGAATTAAGAATTATAGTTTATAATTATTATGTATTAGAATCTCAATACTTCTGGTAATTCAATTTCACTTGGATAACAACTTCAATAAAAAAATCGTTCAATTTCCTTCAAACAACACTAGGAGAATGTGTGGCAATATTCAAAATGTATAAATGCATAAATCAATTGCTCTATAATTTCTTTATAGTTTCCAATATACTAAGTGTCAGGCACTACCGGATTGTTTATTTTGCCTAACCAACTTAATTTAATACGTGGTTTATTTGTTTTACACAATGGAAAATCATTTTTTTAATTGTGTTCGTGGGACAAATTTTTGTATACTCACGCATTACGCCACGTTCTAGATCTTCGTAATAACCAACAAAGGCTATTTGTTGTAAGACATTACTGGGCAATCTATTTAACGTGTCCACACGCCGAAGACGTGACGCTATCGCTTCAACATCTTTTGCACTTCTATCTGAAGGCCTAAAATAAACATAAACCAATATTATTAAATGCTTACTTTACTTAGTTGAATATTTAAGAGTAAGTTGCATTATGACATTTATTTAGATTTAAATGTCTATAAATTCAATTAAACTTCACGAATAAACCCCAAATTTTATACAATTTTCTTTTAACACCAGCAAATTATATTAAAAAAAATAAAAAGTTAAAATTATTTTTCAAGTTTTTATAACGATTAATGATGATTTGAGTATAACTTAATATTTAATTATCTCAAAACGTAGATGCGATGGAAAAAATTTGAAGCCAGAATCAGAATCAATTTCCATATTCAATGAGACTTATTTTTTGAGACTTATGACAACAAAGAGGCTGCTGCCCTGTATTATTATTATTATAATATTATTAGTATACAGTTTTTATATTATTAGTATTGCTGTCATAATAAAGTAAATTAAAATTTGCTTTCAATATGTTTGTACTATAAAATTTTATTATCGACTTCCGCTATATATTTTCATTAAAAAACAATCAAACTAATTAAAACTCCAATAAAACCAATTAAATCTAATAAGACTGATATGGCATAATAAAATACGTTAAATGATATCATTTGAGGTTACATTGACAATTTAACCTAAATTAAAATAATTTATTCTGCTTAAATCATTTTATTTGTTCGTCTTGATTACTTCAATCGCTTTTAAAAAGTACAAATCATTACATTTTACTAAGCCCCGTTCTAAGAAGTGGTTCAAGTGTACTGTTGATTAGAACAACAATTTTGAAAGCGCGGTCATTAATGAGTAATGGAAAAAAAAATCATAACAATTGAATTATTCTTACAAAAACTTTGATCTTTGTTAATTACAAAAATAAACAAGAAATAAAGTATAAATTAGTTAAAATTATTATTTTTTAATTGTAATGGAAATAGTATTACTATTAAACCTAAAATTTAAGTAGAAACTTAGAAATAATATAATTTATTCCTGATTTTTTTAGCTATTCCATTATTAATTTTAATATTAATTTATAAATGAACTTCTCAGTATAGTAAGCAATGCTAAAAAAAAAGATATCTCAATTATTTTAGTTATTTAATCATCTAATAAGAGTATATTCAATTTAAGTTTAAGTTGAGCTATTGAGTAATTAGGACGTTCAATTATTGAGCTCCTAATATTCAAAAATTTATTTTACATACATTTAAATAATATAGCTAAGTAATTATGACGCACAAATTATCAACTGTCAATATTATACAGCTATACATCAGCTTAATTTTTTGAAAAATAAATTATTTGCCTCTTATACTTTAGTATACTTTAATATATTGTACAAACAATACCATACATATATAATGTAGAACAAATGTAGGATTTTTACATACTTTTTAAGACTGTATAATGCAATATCAAGTTAATATATAAAAATAAAACGCAGAATATCAATTAACATAATTACAAATATGTGGTTTGAGCAAAGTTTATAATAAACTTAAATGCTCGAAAACTTTTTCATTATATATATAAACATTTTGCCCCAACCCGTTCTGACAACTTAAATAACTTTTGATTCAGTTAATATTTTTCGCCAATTTTTTAGCTTCGATGAGTAGCTGATAAGGTATTAATTTTATCATGATGTATTTATTTTTTTTTTTTTTGTGTCTGTCCCTACATTTTCTCAGCTCTCACTTGATTTTTCTCAACAATACGTTAAAATATCATAAATCATATCAGTTGAAGACATTACCCTCAAAAGTTAAAAATTTTTTTTTCTAAAAATTGCCATAGCTTATTGAAAAATGAACAAATCAAAATAATTATTTTTTATATTGAAATCTTAGATATTTCCCTTTCGTTTGATATAAATTGTTTGAAAATCTGACCCTTTAACTGCCTACAGGGGGGAGTCAAAATAGCAACTTCTGCACAAAAATTAAACTTTTTCAACTTAAGTTTTGAAAATGTTGGTATTGTATTTTAATTTATTTTAAAATACCTTATAAGGGGGTTCACTGATTTTCACGAATATTATATGAATCTAATTGACATAGAATATAATGTTAAACTAATTTCAATTTTTTTTTTCCTTTAAAGTCGAAAAAATTAATTTTAACATGTGAATCAGCTTAAATTGCCAATTTGATCGAAAAACGAATGTCACGAACGTTTACCGATTCAGTAAAAATCATTGCCTATGGCAATGTTTTTTTTGCAATTTTTCCGTAATTCTTTTTGAGAGAAAAATGAGCTTTTCATTAATCCACCAATTTTTTAAAATTAAACACTATATACAGATTTGCATCTAAGCGTTTCTTATGATTGTGATTTTAATCACTGTCAGATATCATCTATTCTAGTCCCAACTATTTCAAGCTCACACTGTGCGTGACCCTATTGTGCTACTTTATTTTTTTGAATAATTAACANTTAAAAATTTAAGTTGAAAAAGTTAATTTTTTGTGAAAAAGTTGTCATTTTAAATCCCCCCCGTGGGCAGGTAAAGGGTCAGATTTATAAAAAAAATATATCAAATGAAAAGTAACGATATCATACATCTATATAAAAAAGTTATGGCAATTTTTGAGGGTAATGTATTCGACTAGATACGATTTGTTATCTTTTAACGTATTACTGAAAGAAATGGGTTCAACTGAGAGAGCTGAGAAAAAGTGGTAACAGACACAAAAAAAACACATCATAGTAAAAATAATACCTTCTCAGCTTTGCATCGGAAGCTAATANATAGTAAAAATAATACCTTCTCAGCTTTGCATCGAAGCTAATAAAATAATGATGTGAACATAAGCTGATTTAATTTTTCAACTTTTATTTTTAACTTTTAAGCTATTAAGAAAAAATAATTTATTCCTAAATACTAATAACAATTAAGTTATAAAAATTTTTAAAATAAATATAAATTATAAACAATGTAAAATTTATTTTATTTAAAATTAAAAACAATTCCTGCCTTTTTTTAGTCATATTTTAATTACTATTATTTAGAGCACGCAAATAACAAATTAACAAAAACAAATAAATTACCTATTGTAACTACTAAATTATAAAAAAAAAAACAAATTAAAGATAAAATTTATCAAAAAATTTTTCATAGAGTATACTCTATCGAATTTTGTAATTAACTAGATTCTAATCAATGCAGATACTTGGTAGTTTGTTATCATTTGTTAGACCAGAGTTAAAAAAAATTTACCTACAACCACGTTTGGAGTAATTGCTATTCCATTTATTATTACGTCTAGAACGTTATCTTTTTCAAATAACGTTTTCTATGAATATAAAAATGAAAATACAGCCATAATAATAACTGTATTACTCAATAGTAATCACAAATTAATAATAATTTCAATGTATATAAAGCCTAGCACGTTTTTGATAATTCGTAAAAATAATTGAATTTTAAATTTGGGGGGGCCTGCTCTGGGCCACATTAAATTTAAGGGGGGCCAGACCCACCCTTGTTTACGTGCCTGTATTTAGATAATATATTGAAAGTAAGATAAGTATTGCAAATATATCACTTGTGACAACATCGGATAGGATTTTTATGTTCAATTTGTGGTGGCAGCGCTGGTGAGATTTTGACATCCATCGGAGGAATGATAAGAAGTAATATTGGTAATTAGTTATGTTTTTTCTTTTAATGGACACATTTTTTTTTTCTAATATAAATTAAAAGTAAAATATGAATTTCATGGTGAATTAAATGGATATATAATGAACTATGTTTGAGAGAACAGTGAACAAATTCGTTCGAATATCAACTATATTCGAACTGCTAAACAAATAAACACATCACTGAAACGACGGAATTAAGGCCAGAAATTAAACTACTACTAATCATACACAGCTCATTCACATACTATACAACACATTGGGATTAATATGTTTATTTTCATATGAATACTTGTATACATTTTATTATTGTCTAACACAGAAAACTATAATTAGCTACTTATGTTAACAAATTGTAATCAAACCAATATTTTTATATTTGTAAAGTAAAAACAAATACCAATGAAATATATTAGAAAAATTTCAAAATAGCCATTTTTTTGTGTAAAATTTTAGATTTAATTTATTAAAAATATCTTTTGACAAAACTGATTACACATTGTAGTATTTTAAAGTTTGTAAATATTTTAACTTTCTGTATTTATCTTACATAAAATAATGGTAAAACTTTATATATTTTATTTTAAAACAACCAGTTTTTGGTTGTGTTTAGATTCATATTGTCATCGTCGGAATCAGTTTTGAACCGTTTCTTAAAAGTTAATTTTGAAAAGATTCCAAACCTCGACTGTTACTTACTTTAAAGAATTGTTTAATTAAATTGAATAGCTTGTAATTACTGTAAAATTTGATGTTAAGAAAAATTATTATTTATAAGCCATACACTTTAATATATAAGGTATTTAGTAAGTAAGGAAACGAATTTTTATTATTCTCGTGGTTTATAACAATTGACCTGTTTCTTTACTTACTGAACATCCTTTATATTTAATTGATTATATTAATAATATATATTCCTATGTATTATAACTATTGTGACATATCGAAAATTTTTTAAAAAATTTTAGGGATTATTGTGGATTATGGACCATTGATAATGACTTATGGGTCATTAATGATGAATAAACCAGTGGGTGACGTTTTCATCCCTACACGGAATTAAGAGGTATAACATTGTCAATGTTATTTTCACGTAAATATTGCTTTACCATAACGGTAATAACTTATCAAATTCGACGTTATTGTAATACATAAAGGTTGATTTTAAGGATTACAAGCAAAGCTCGAAATTTTATGTATTTATAAAATGTGTTTAAACCACATTAGAGATACTCAACTCAGTGGAAAATTATCATAATTATTATTATGTGGTAATTCATTTATGTGTATACTATGGTAATTATCATTACCACAGGAATATTTTTTGTTCTAGGTGAAGTGATTCCATTACGTCCCCTAAAACTAAACTTCTAA